ACACTGTTTGTCATGCATAAAATAGTGCGTTTATTCAAAATGCTTTAAAGTTGTTAAATTTTGATTAAGATATCACTGTAATGAAAGTTTTTAATGAATTTTCGGCATAAAAAAATACTGCAAATGTGAAGGACATGTTTGAATGTTAAAATGGTCCGTAATGCTCCGTCGTGTAGGTACCTATTCGACAGCTTTATCCAGTCCCGCTGTGGAACGATTTTTAAAAAACTATTCTGCCATTCTTATTTTTCGTAGCAGGGTGACTAATTTTTCGAAAATTAGGTATCTGAGGATGTTTGAAGAATGACAAATTTGAATAACAGAGTAAAAGTTGTAACGTTTTTGTAACAGTTACAGATAGAGAATTTTTATATTTTACTGGACATTTTTTCTCCATAAAAAGATATCAAACATATGTTCACAACAAATGGTTGATATTTGAAAATGTAAACAAACCAAACGAAACTAAAATTTAGGGAATTTTACACTTTTTAAAGAAAATATTTAAATTAATAGCACACTAATATTAAAAAAAATGATTTGTAATTTGATTAATTTTATTGTCATAAATTAGTTTTATATAAGTTTTTTTTTTTTGTGAAAAATCATAGCAACCAATGTCAATATAGCGTTTTTAGAATAATTTAATTTAATTTTTTTGAAAATAAACAATTCTACTTTTTTTATTCAATTGTACTGCTTTTTTAATTACGATGTACGTTTTTTGTTGATATCAAATCTGGCAAGCCTAGTATATTATACTTTTTCGTCCTCCAATTGGTAATTTATGAATTTTACATACAACACCTAGTGTAGAACCATAAAATGCAATAGCTGGGATCGTAAGTAAAAAAAATCAATTTCTTTGATCTTAAACTGGTATATTTTTAGTTTTCTATAAAATTAGACCAACAGTGAAATCTATTGTAAAAATTTTTCTACTTTTAAACATTTGGAATCATAAGTAAATTATTTTTTTAGCCCTGCGTACGAAGATCTATTTCTATCTGACGGCATGTTTTCATCAAGTCAACTACAGTTAGGACAATATTGCACGGAACCCCGATAATTGTTTCCTAATTCTGGTTCTTCGAATGAATTTTATATGCAGACTTCCCCACCAGTTCAGTTCCAAATGAGTTGCATATGATGACTTCCACACCCCTTCAGGTAGGAAAACATTGTTCGAAACCCCTGCAATTGTTTTCTTACTTTGATTCCTCTCAAGAATTGTTTGTTGACTTCCACTTCTATACCATTGGGACAACATTGCAGGGAATCCCGGCAATTGTTTCCTAACTTAGTACCCCGTTTCTGTAACTTTTAGTGAGAAGTTCTCACATCGAGAAGTGTGAAATAAAAAATTCCATCGTTTCTCGATTTGTGAGTAAAAAGTGTTTCTGTAACTTAAAGTGAGAAGAGTCTACACGAATTACGTTTTTATTGGAAATTTCCAATAAAACAGCTGTCAAAAACATAAGAATTAAAAGAAGAAAACAGAAATTGCCCAACAAATTTATAAACGAAGAATAAATAAACAAAAAAATATAGAAATTAAATGAAAATTGTTCGAAAAATTATCCCATTAAATTCGCCCATGACAAATTCTAAGTTTACTCCCACGTACTTTTTTAGCATTTGCTTTTGTATATCCGAAATTCCTCCTATCTTCTAAAAATTAGTGAACAATAGTTTCATAATCTTAATTAATGATAAATATGACATAACTTTTTCATTATTTTATAGAATTCATGTTTAAATTATTTTTTTTTACTTAAAATTTTACTTTCCGCATCGTTTTAAAATGTGAGTTTTTTGACAGTTCATGTGAGAAACTTCTCACAAAATTTTCTTACAGAAACACTTTTACTCACAAATTTCCGATAACTTACGTCAAAAAACATAAATGACAGATAGTTCTCACAAAATGTTCTTACAGAAACACTTGCATGTGAGAAATAACATTTTGATTCAATTCACATAGTTTTTTCTTCAATTTCACTGGATCGTTTGAAATTACATATCCGAGCGCAGGGATCAGGGAACGCAAACGGAGAATGTAAATCAAGTTTTTATTTTATTTTTTAGCCCACATTTTCACTTATTAAATCTATATAGTCCTGTGATTACTGACTATACAGTGGGTAGACAGAATTATTTGGATAAAGTTAGGATTCTGGACACAGAAATAAAGGAACAAAGTTGTAAGGTTGCTGAAGCAAATGCGACTGTGGAATCAATGCGATCCATATTTTTTGATGTGAAGTGAAAGTGAGAGGACATTTTTGGTGCACGCATCTGGCCAGAGAGCTTATAGACAATTGTACACAAAAGGGTTTCCACTACCTTACGAACATACTCTACAGCGCTGGTGTCATAAAATAAATATAACGGAAGACATAATAAGACTGGAAGAAGAGGACAAAGTGTGCGTGGTGGCCTTTGATGAAATGAAGGTAGTAGAAACCTTTGAATACGAAGCTGATAGTGACAAGGTGTGTAATCCAGCAAATTATGTACAAGTGGTAATGACTCGAGGGCTCCGAAAATCGAGGAAGGAATGACGAAAGAACTCTTGTTTGAGTTGATAGCAGAGCTCTAAAAGGCATATTTCCAGTCGTAGCGGTGGTATGTGACTTGTGAGCGTTTCCGCAGGTAAATTTTTAAAAACCGATTCAATGAATATTTTGAATTTTTGTATAACCTTTTTGTGCAGATGACATTAATTGTAATGTCGATTTTCAGTTTTACCAGGTTCACGGATTATGTGTCATAATCTCTAAATTTGGTAATTCGAATTTTTCGTTATCATACGAGTTTAAGTTTAGATTTTAATATTTAATTTAAGGTAAAACACTTAGATTTACTTACCAAGTAAGTACTTCGTTAGAGATATAAGTTTGTTCGCTTCAACATTTGATTTCATAAGTTTCATACCTGATTTAAGTTTCTTTAAAATTTTTAGTTTCTTGTGTATTAAATATTTAGTTTCGCTATTAAGTTTTAAAATTATATTTCGTAATTAAACTTAAATTTAAGTTATTTTAATGCTAATTTTATATGTGAAATTAAGCTATTATTTCTTCGGACAGACCATGGTTTCTTAACTCCACAAATTCTGCTGATAAATATTTCACTTTTGTCGATACAGTATATACAAGTATACATAAATACAAACACAGCCGAATATAGCACTCTTACTTGTTTTGTAACATTTACATATAAAAGCAGAATATTGTTTATTTATGGTATTTTTCGATCCGCGGACCTTCATTTATATATTTCAAGTTAAAGCCATTTGAAAATTAAAATTTAAACATTTTTGCATACCTTGACTCAATTTTTTTAAATATCGAGCGTAATTTTAAACCGATTTTAAGCAGATTTTTTCTATTACTTAAATAAAAAAATGTCCAATCACATTCATACCAATATCTTTTCTGGATTCAAGCAAGTAATAAGTTTATATTCGCCTTTGCCGAATATTATATAAAGATTAATTATATGAAATTTTAATTTATTTAATTTTTCCCAAATCTGCCATTACTTTAGCGATAGCAAAACAAACAGGCAATAACAACAAGAACGCTTAACGGAATAAAACACACAAAGCAATGAAACCAAGATACATCTAAACATACGTTTTTTTCCATTAAATAATGTTGTTGTTGCTTTTTTATCAAAGCATGCAAAAAAATTTCTTTTTTTGATGAAATTTTCAGAGGTTGTCTGATTTTTGCTCATATCTTCGTTATTTATGGACGGAAAACTTCTCGAAAGCATGTCTGACAGAATTATTGAAGATTTGGATCATGAAGATATCTGGGGCATTCAGAAAATTTGTTTCAACGAACAGACGGACATGGCTTAATCGACTCCGCTACCTATAAGGATCCAGAATATATATACTTTATAGAGTCGGGAAATTGTATTGTGGAAATTACAAACGGAATGACAAACTTATATATACCCTTCTCATGAAGGGTATAAATCATTGGCGGCCAAACATGCCCCTGCGGCATTGTGTTATTCTCACTCATACACATGCGATATGAATGTTCTCAGCAAAAAAAAAAAAACAAACTATACACAAAACAAAAACAATTTAATTTTTAATTGATTTTTATTTTGTAAACATTTTTGAAAAGGTCTGCTTATGATTTTTATTTTTAAAAGCAAAACAATAAATCGCAATTGTAAATACACGATTAGGACACACATACTATCTTCAGAAATCATAGCAAACAACAACAATATACTCTCCCACTCTCATATAAGCAAGAGGAAAAGGAATACAAAAACCAAGTGCTCAGCCAAAAACATAAGTAACAAAACAAAAGTAGTAAAGGTTATACTAAACCATTTAAGTAAAAATCATTTTATAACTGTTATTCTGAGTGATTTATTTAAAAAAACAAAAATAAATCACAATTCAATAACTTTGGTTATGTGGCCCAGTTATTTTCAGTCTCTGCTTTATAAATAGCGGAGTCGATTAATCCATGTCCCTCTGTTCGTCTGTCTGTCCATTGAAATCAGTTTTAATAATTCTATCAAAGATGCTTTCGAAAAGAAGTCTAATTAAAATCTGTAATCGGTCCTCAAGATAGCTTTATTGTTGCCGTTTATACACTAGTTTTTATTGAGGATATAACTAATTTTCGCGAAATTTTTGGAATACCTCCAAGTGATGGCCAATGGAATCAAAAACATTATGCACCAACCCCAATTTCTAATATAAACTAAGTTTTTTTAAGTTTTAATTTTTTATTAACGAATTAGCCGTTTATAAATTACAAATTTATTTCCAAAATTCCATTCTGCACCACAGACATCGCTATGTTATCTATGAATAAGTATTATAATTTTTCATATAAATAATAGACAATTTACCAAAAATATATATTTCGTAATTAGCACTTTTATAATTATTTATTGTGTTACAACACTTTAATGTTTATATTAATGTTTTATTTAATTGCGTATATGTATGTACTTACACTGAAACTGTTTCCAAGATGAGTGACCACCAATAAAGCAACAATGAGGTTGTAATACTGCATTGTTTTCTAAAAAATAAGAAGAATATGTTATAATCAGGAAACCAAAGTATGCAAATGCTTTTATATGTTTTAAATGTTTTTATGGCGCGTCGTATGAACTCGTGGATGAGAATTTTACACGTTTCAGAATAATTTAAGATTTTTGGCATCGATTTGTAAGCGCATATTTTTATTCTATGATATTTTTAATTTGATATATATTTATTTATATCTTTTATGTCCGGTGTAACATTTCGGTCAAATCGGATAAGGGAAAATCGATTGAAAATTGATTACTTCAAAATTAAAGCCATTTAAATTACACATATGTAGATAAAGTCTTATCTTCAAGAGGAAAATGGCTTTCGTATAGGTATAAAACATTATAGGTGGAAGTACACAACACGCGATGAGGCGGCAACGCATTTCACGCTTTTCAAACTTTTCGCGATTTATAAGCGGCAAGTTACACAGCACGCGTCATTTCGATCATTCTTTTAATGTTTTTACGACTATTACTATTTTAAAAATCAAAATTTTAAGTTTTTGTCTATTTTTTGAATATTTTTCTTTCACTGTTGGAGAAATTTATTTCATTTTAGTTTATTCTTATTCAACACAAAACAAAATACAACTCTAATCAGTTGCCGATGCGTCAAAAGTTGAAAGTTGCTGAACTTTTCCCGGCAGACGCGTTACAAACTGCAGTGTATATCTTTGTTAAATGAAAATACACTATTTAAACTATTTTGACAGAAGCCTATAACTCGTTGCCGTGTGTTGTGTAGTGCTGTAATATTCTACTACTTTTGATTACTCAATACTACTCAATACTTTTCGTTTGGATACTCAATACTACTCGATACTTTTAACGGTTTTATTTTAAATTAAAAACGAGGAATTTCTCCTTTTTTAAGTAAAGTTAGACCAGACATCACACCTCTTTTGAGACATTTTATTTTTTTAGATTCCGTCAATAAATATTTGAAACTTTTTAACTATTATTGCAGTTTTTAAATTATTTTTACATTGATTTGATATTGCTAAGAGTTGCATTTCTAATAATGATATGATCTGTATTAGTTGTAGAGCTGTATTTTTTCACATCATAGCCGTTAAATTTAAATAAGTTAAATCCATATACAAGTCTGAAAGTATTGAGTAACTACTTTTTAGTATTGAGTACCCACTACTCAATACTTTAACAGCACTAGTGTTGTGTACTTCCACCTTAATATCTGTATGTTAGTATGTTAATAAAAATAAAATTATACAAATATTCAACATTATGTGAAATATGAAATTCCTCAAAAACTACTAATTAAGGATATTCACATTTTTGTGTTGAATACTTTGCTTACATCACTTACATATGCTAAAAAATTATAAAACAATGCAAAAAGAAATCGTAATTACCGGGCCTCATTTGACCCTAGCCCCATAAAGAGTTTCCGCAAAAAATTTACGTCTATAGTTAGCTTATAAACACTAGTATCGCAATGAAATTCGCCATATATTACATGCAGTAATAGTGAATCAATATTCTTAAACTCGTTAGCAATTGTTACTGGTAAAGCGTTCATTAACTCAAAACACTTGCAAGAAGAGCAAGTGTTTCTCTCGTTGCAAACTATTACAAGTTATATTTTGTAATAGTAATAAATATCCTATATAAAATTGAACAGCCGTTTTTGTTATTGTCAGTCAACGCTTTTGTGTTTGTTTTAAAATAAAAATGTTTACGAGGTAAATTATTACGATATTACTCAAAATTCAGATGCTTTTACCTATTTTGGAAGCTTTAATAATAATTTAAAAACAAAATTTGTAAGACGGTTTAAAAATCACGTTTATGTTTTCTTGAAAGTTTTTACTAGTAAAGCATTCATTTACTTTTACTAATTTTGAGAGTAATTTCGTAAATTTTGATTTTACTCTCTCGTTGCAAGTAATTACTGGGAAAGTAAATGAGCAGACTTATTATTTCTCCTCGTATATCGCTTAAAGACCATAAATTCTTCAGCGAAATTTATACCGATAGTATAAACATGATCTCCAATGTCTCGGTATTAGCATATTTAGAGTTATAATTGCTCTAGTTCTATCCTTTCAGACGAATTCAATTTATATAATACGGCCCAGATTATTTAGTTTTTTATACCCTTCACCACCATCAGTTGTGATAGAAGGTCATTTCGACTGTAACACCAAGAAATATTTATTTGAGATCCAACAATGTATATATGTATATTCTGGGTCTTTATGAAATTCTCAGTCAATTTAGACATATCCGTCTGTCTGTCTGGTTAAAACACGCTCACGTTAAAACTAAGCAAAAGAATAGACCAAATTCACTGGAAATATTAATTGTTGTCCTAAGCAGTTTGATATTTGGTTATGGATAAAAATTTCAGACTACCTCGAAAATAAATGATAAATTTTGGAATGCGTTATTTTTTTCGCTCAGGGATCAATTATGTTCAAAATGTTCCCGAAAATTGATTTATCGTTAATAAATTCCTAAAAAATATCGGTATCACGCAAAAACTTTTCAGATATATATACATATTATATAAACAGAATTCTTATTACCAACGTAGATCTGTGTCAGTCCACAATTGATCATAGCTCCCATATAAAGCCCACTTCCGAAAATCACTTAAATGCACTTAACTAATTCAGAAATAAAGATATCGGTATAATATTCGGTATAATATTTCTCGGATCGGTCCATAATTTGTCATAGCTCACTTCTAATATCACGTAAACTCACATATTTCAGTACCAAATATACCAGATATCGGGATAAAATTCATCATGAATGTGTTTAAAGTATACGTATGTATGTATATGGGAAATTCTTTTTTTGACAAAAGACTTGAAAGAATACGTCCATAAAATTTCGAATTATAATTATAAACAAATTTTAAATTCAGAATTTTATCAGTAATAAATCTTTGTATAGAAAGAATTGGTTTGTATTAAAAAAATTTAATCAATGAATACGAGGGGTTTCTTTCCAACAAGAGTCGATTAAGCACACCCAAGCCGCCAATTTAAATTGGTAAGATTAAACATCAATCGGTAGTTGGTAATGATGGTTATATGAAAATCGATAAGCCGTTCGAAAAAAGTACGTTTTTGCATTAAAAAAGTTCATTCATGTTAATCAGGATGCACTAAGTAAGGTGAAATCGTTATTTAAAAAGTGCTTGGGTTGTATCAAAATAAATTAATTTATTATACCCTCCACCACCATCAGTGGTGATAGAGGGTATAAGTTTGTCGTTCCGTGTGTAACACCAAGAAATATTCATCTAAGACCCAACAAAGTATATATGTATATTCTGGGTCCTTATGAAATTCTGAGTCGATTTAGCTATGTCCGTCTGTCCGTCTGTCTGTCTGTCTGTGTAAAACACGCTCACGTTAAAACTAAGCAAAGGAAATCAACCAAATTCATCTAAAATATTTATTATTATCCTAAGCAGTTTGGTATTGAAAATCAGCAAAATCGGTTCTCAACGTAAAAAGTTATGAGTAAAAATTTCAGACTACCTCGAAAAAAATTACGTTTTTTTCATAATTCTTTTGAAGTTTTCTCAGAAACTACCAAAGATATTTCGATGAATTTTGCCATACGTTATTTTTTCAGGGCAGTGATCAATTATATTAAAAATCCTTACAATCGATCGAATATTTCCCATAGCTCCCATACAAAGGTATATATTCCCGGAAATTAGTTTATCGTTAATAACTCCCTCAAATATATCGGTATCAACACGAAATTTTGTACATGTAAATATAATATGAACAGAAATCATACCGTCAACATAGATCTCAGTCGGTCCACAATTGGTCATAGCTCCCATATAAGGTCCACTTCCGAAAATCACCTAAACGCACATATTTCATTGATAAATAAAGCTATCTTGATAAAATTCAACACAAAGATGTTTAGTCTAAATATGAATCATCCTATGAAATTTTTTCCGGATAGGCCCATAATTGGTCATAGCTCCCAAATAAGGTCCACTTCCGAAAATCACTTAAACGCATATATTTCATTGAATTATGAAGCTATCGGGATAAAATACGACACAAATATGTTTTGTATACATACAAATCATTTTACAAAATTTTTTACGGATCGGTCTATTATTGGTCATAGCTCCCATATAAGGCCCACTTCCGAAAATCATTTAAAAGCTCATATTTCATTGTCAAATAAAGCTATCTTGATAAAATTCGACACAAAGATGTTTAGTCTAAATATGAATCATCCTATGAAATTTTTTCCGGATAGGCCCATAATTGGTCATAGCTCCCATATAAGGTCCACTTCCGAAAATCACTTAAACGCACATATTTCATTGTCAAATAAAGCTATCGTGATAAAATTCGACAGAAATATGTTTTGTGTGCATTCAAATCATTGCACTATTTTTTTTACGGATCGGTTCCTTATTGGTCATAGCTCCCATATAAGGCCCACTTCCGAAAATCACTTAAAAGCACATATTTCAATGTCAAGTAAAGCTATCTTGACAAGATTCGACGCAAATATGTTTTGCCAAAACATGAATAACTCTACGAAATTTTTTCCGGATAGGCCTATAATTGGTCATAGCTCCCATATAAGGTCCACTTCCGAAAATCACTTAAACGCATATATTTCATTGAATTCTAAAGCTATTGGGATAAAATTCGACTTGAATATGTTTTGTGTACGTACAAATCATTTTATAATTTTTTTACGGGTCGGTCCATTATTGGTCATAACTCCCATATAAGGCCCACTTACGAAAATCACTTAAAAGCACATATTTCATTATCAAATAAAGCTTTCTTGATAAAATCGACACAAACATGTTTTATCCAAATATGAATTACTCTGCGAAATTTTTCCCGAATAGGCCCATAATTGGTCATAGTTCCCATATAAGGTCCACTTCCGAAAATCACTTACACGCATATATTTCATTAAATTCTAAAGCTATAGGGGTAAAATTCGACTTGAATAAGTT